GTGCGCATGCGTGGGAGTGTGCGGGTGCGCACATGTGCACTAGCGTACACGTCACTGCAAGCGGGCTATTTAAATCACCAACACAGTTTAGCCTATGCCTTCTGGTCTACAACATCCTGCACTTCATAACCTGATTCTGTTGCCTATATCTGATCTGACCCTGACTAAGAAATAACTCCGCCTGCACCGACCCGGCTTATCCCTGACTATCCGCTTGCCTGCTCCCTTATACCTGATCCACTCGATTGATCCAGACCCAGCTTGTCTGACTCTGCTACGCATACATACCTTTATCTGCACCTGGCCTGTATCCTGGTTGCCGCTATACTTACCTGCTGCTGCACCTACGTTCCTGCACCTGGCCTGCACCCTGGTTACCACTATACCTATCCACTGCCACACCTACGCTCCTGCATCCGCACCTGGTCTGCATCCTGGTTACGCCATACCTGCCTGCTGCCGCACCTACTCTCCTGTGTCCACTCCTGGTCTGTATCCTGGTTGCTGCCATACCTGCCTGCTGCTGCACCCTCGTTCCTGCATCCACACCTGGCCTGCATCCGAATCTTCTGGGTCCTCACCTGCCTACCATCATCTCCAGACCCACCCGGCACTCGTGCCACTTCTGGCTTGGCGCCCTCTGTCCTGCTATAAGGGGCTCCAAGCGGGAGTAGTAAGAGGACGCCTCCTCTCCACATCAGGCTCCCCAACTAGTTACGTGACAGAGTCAATCACAGGCTCAGGGGAAGGAAGTCTTCCAAAGTGGGATTTAGCTGAAGAGTAGGCTCAACAAGTCCTGCAGGGACTGTATCTGCAGAGGAAGGAGACTCTGAATAGGAACTTGGTGAAGGAGTTTTCGATCCTGAAGCAGGGGAGGGTGACAATATACTGTCTTTTATGACAGATAGAAGTGATCACCAATCTATTCCATACAGCAGAACCTCTTCTGGAGAGCAACTAGTATCTCCTGTAGTACCACCCCAGACATCAGACACTCCTTTATCCAGCTGTTCTGAGTTAATCCCTGGGAAGGGGATCCATAGCCTGTCACTACAGTGGGAAACAGTCCCGGGTAAGAAAGCTAATCCAGTGTCCCACTAGAGTGCCTCTTTCCCCTTACTGGCCCAGGGGGTGCAGGTCTACTCATTCAGTCCTTCTCTTGTGCTGCTGGTGGGTCAGTGGCTGCTACCAGGCCTTCTAGCTGGGCCGCTCCTTCCCTACTGTACAGGTGATCCTCACTCTGGGGGATAGTGAAGTCCTGAGTCTCCCTCTAAGGTCCTCTGCCTGTAGGCAAGCCCCTCTCCATCTGAGCCCCCTCCCAGGCTCCTGCTCTCCAGCCTCTCACTTCCTCTCCATCTTCCACCCGAACTCCACTCTTGCTGAGCAGGCTACGTCACGTTTAAGGGTTGTCCTGGCCCCATGACAAGCCCCCTGTTGGGGATTGGCCAGGATTAGAGATGAGCGAATCGAACATGACGAAGTGGAATTCGTTCCGAAGATTTGGAAAAATTCTATTCGCGACGAATCCGAAGATTAGCAAACTTCGGATGCACGAATCGAATTTACCCAAAAATGGCGGCGACATGTGTGGCGACGGAGAAAATGGACAGAGAAGATGGTATCCCAGAAGCTGCTCAGCGTGTCAGGGCAATAAAGCTCCCGGTTCGCAGGTTGTTCCGTCTTATGGATGGAAGTACGACGGTATATGATCTTCTTCGCATCCACGGCATTACTTCGTAGAATTTCTGCATTGCATCTGCAATCACAACGCTGACTTCCCGGATCGCCACTCAGCCATTGGACTCTTGAGAGTCGTCTCCCCACACTGCTGCTGGGGGGACTTTTTAACCTAGGCCTGTGTATGGCCTTCAATTGAAGCTGCTTCCGCTCCGCCACTCTGCCATTGGACTCTTGATAGTCGTCTCCCCACACTGCTGCTGGGGGGACTTTTTAACATAGGCCTCTGTATGGCTTTCAATTTAAGCTGCTTACGCTTCGCCACTCTGCCATGGGCCCCTGTACCACCTCCTCTTGCTGCTGCCAGGTCCAGAGTGTGTCATGGGTCCCTGTACGGCCTCCCATTGCTGCTGACTTCATCGCCAGACTCTGCCATGTGCCACTTTCAGGTCTCCTTACACTGTTGGTGGGTTCCATTTTGTGATAGGGTGCTGTATGGCCTTCCATTGCTGCTGCCTCCACCGCCACCCTGCGCCATGTGCCTCTGTCGTCTGCTCACGCTGCTGACGGCTTCTGCTTTTTAACCGAGGCCTGTGTTTGGCTTCCGAATACTGCTGCATCCACCGCCACCCTGCGCCATGTGTCTCTGTCGTCTGCTCACGCTGCTGACGGCTTCCGCTTTTTAACCTAGGCCTGTGTATGGCTTCAGAATAATGCTGCCTACACCGCCACCCTGCGCCATGTGCCTCTGTCGTCTGCTCACGCTGCTGCCAGGTCCATACTGATTCATGGCCCCCTGTACCGGCTCCTCATGAACGTGGTTCAGCGGGTTTGCATCACTTAACGGCAAATCGTTGACAAACGCTGGGACGTTCAGTGTTGTGCTCATTAAGCCAGACACCAAAGGGCAGCACAGACCTGTTATTACTCGCTCAAGCATGGCTGAACAAAACCAGTCTCTACCACAAATTGGACCCAGACCTGCCCAGGGTCTCGTAAGTAGATTGCACGGAGGAGTAGAGTTCGTTATTGGAATTAACTGTGAGGGACTTTTAAACCTAGGCCTGTGTATGGCCTTCAATTGAAGCTGCTTCTGCTCCGCCACTCTGCCATTGGACTCTTGATAGTCGTCTCCCCACGCTGCTGCTGGGGGGACATTTTAACATAGGCCTCTGTATGGCCTTCAATTTTAGCTGCTTACGCTCCGCCACTCTGCCATGGGCCCCTGTACCGCCTCCTCATGCTGCTGCCAGGCCCGTAATCTGCCATGGGCCCCCGTACCGACTCCTCATGCTGCTGCCAGGCCCGTAATCTGTCATGGGCCCCTGTACCGCCTCCTCATGCTGCTGCCAGGTACAGAGTGTGTCATGGGTCCCTGTACGGCCTCCCATTGCTGCTGTCTCCATCGCCACACTCTGCCATGTGCCACTTTCAGGTCTCCTCACACTGCTGGTGGGTTCCATTTTGTCATAGGGTGCTGTATGGCCTCCCATTGCTGCTGCCTCCACCGCCACACTGTGGCTCCACACTCTGGTTTTGGCCCCGTGACTGCCCAAATGAGTGAAGTGTGCGGTGATTCTAAGATCGACGGCACTCATCTGCATGTCATACTGACTGACAGTATTATTTCTCTTCCCCAGCAGACTCCAAGGGCATTTAAATTAAAGGTACAGTGTTCTGCACTAATATAAAGGCTCTCTGAAGCCTAGAAACACCCTTTTTATAAGTTAAATTCGCAGCGAATATATTCGGCTCGAAGCGAATTTATTCGGCGAATTCGGCGAATCAGCCAAACCGAATTTTTGAATAATTCGCTCATCTCTAGCCAGGATCCCTCAAGAGTGCAGATTAGCCACTCCTTACCTCCACTCACTGCTTCTAGAACTTTCTCCAAATTTCCAAAGCAGGGGGAAGTCTCAGAGAGCTGTTTTGCAGAGTCTCTCAGCCCTGACCAAAATTTTACCTCCCTCTGACTATTACACAGACTGCTACTCAGCTTCTGTCTAACAATTGAAAGGTTAGCTCCTCCTAGCTACCTAGAGGGTACTACAGAATCATTATGCTTCTTGTTCCTCTCCCCTGCGGATTGGGAAGTCTGCATTGCTTTCTTGTAAGCGGTCTCTAATTGGTGTTTCAGCCTTCCTACATACGCCTGATGTGATGAGGGGTAAGCTGATCAGGAGCTGTGCCAAAGTCCAAATCCATGGGTAACTTAAGCCCCGTCCAAACATTAGACGATAGGGAGAAAAGCCATCATCCTTGGTGCTATTATAAGCATGCAACACTGCAGCAATATGTTGGCCCCACTGTTTTTTTTTTTTCTTTTCTAATGGCAGGGCTTTCAAAGTCTCTGCTCGTATCTAAGTGAATTCTCTGTGGAACTCTGTATTGCACAAATTTTTCTGCTAGGACTTTGGCTACAGTGGATACCTGCTGGTTCTTTGTGAGGAACGCCTGAGCATACAGTGCTCAGCATAAATGAGTACACCCATGTTGAGAAGTAAGATTTTAATCAATATCTCAATGAACACAAGAACAATTTCCACAGTTTTGACAAAACTGAGTTTTATAGAACATTTGTTTAGCTCATTATATGAAAGTAAGGTTTATAATATAATTACAAAATATTCAGTTTTACTCAAATTAGTTGATGCAAAAATGAATACGCCCCACAACAAAAACTAATCAATCTAGTATTTTGTATGACCTCCATGATTTGTAAGGACAGCACCAAGTCTTCTAGGCATGGAATGAACAAGTTGATGATATATAGCAACAATTATCTTTTTCTATTCTTAAAGAACAACTTGTTTTTGAACCTGGATGCTGGATCGTGAATGATGCTCAACTTGTCTCTTCAGAATTCCCCATAGGTGTTCGATTGGGTTCAGATCAGAAGACATACTTGGACACTGAATCACTTTCCCCCTGTTCTTCTTCAGAAATGCAAGAGTGGCCTTAGATGTATGTTTTGGATCATTGCTATGTTGGAAAAGTGCACAACAACCAAGGGAACAGAGTGCTGGTAGCATCTTCTATTTCGATATAGAGCAGAACATCTGTGAATTTATGAGACTATCAATGAAATGCAGCTCCCCAACACCGGCAGCACTCATTCCACCATGTTTCACTGTAGGCACCATGCATTTTTCTTTGTACTCTTCACCTTTGCGACTCCATACAGTTTTGAAGCCATCAGTTCCAAAAACATTTATCTTGGTCTCATCACTTCAGAGTACAGAGTCCCAGTAGTCTTCTTTTTCAGCTTGGGTCCTGGCAAATTCTAAGCAGGATTTTTTGTGCATGGGCTTTAGGCTTCCTTCGTGGATGACACCCATGCATGCCATTCCTCTGCAGTTATGCTGTATTGTGTCACGGGAAACAATTACCCCAGTTTGGCTTTCTACTTCTTTAGCTAACTGCAGTGAACTTGCATGGTGATTTTCTTCAACCCTTCTCATCAGTGGACTCCTGTCGAGGTGTTGACTTTCATGGATGGTCTGGACATCTCTGTGAGATGGTTGCAGTTCCATCTTTGTTAAATGTTTGTATCACTTTTGCTACAGTATTCTGACTGATAAGTAAAGCTTTGCTGATCTTCTTGTAGCCTTGAAAATTCAACTGTCTGTTGGACACCTGTTAAATGTATAATTGGACTCACCTGTAGTTAAATTCTTATTACTTAGGATTTTGTTGTCTAAAATTTAGCTTTGCTCCTAAGATAGTATTCATTTTTGCAACATGGTCCTGAACGAATTTATTAGGAACAATTCTCTTTTGTGTCTGCAAATTAACAAATCTTGTTTGCAATCAATGTCCCAGATTTGTGGGAGTATTTTGTAATATAGTATCCCACAGAAAATGTTGATTCTGATAGGAAAGTAAAGGTTTTCTGACAAATCTTTTAGGGTGTACTCATTTATGCTGAGCACTAAATCTAGTGAAATGGTCTGTCACTACTAAGACATTCCTCCATCCACTAGAATCTGGTTCAGACACAAGAAATCAATACACACTAGCTCCAATGGTCCTTGGCTTGAAGGTGGCTAAAGGAGGCAGCTTATTTAGGTAGGGTCTTTCTCTGTATACAACTGTGGCAGGTGCGGCAGTACTCCTCCACTTCTGACCTCATCCGTGGACATGTAGAATCAATCTCTCACCAGCAGTTGGGTCCTTTACTGCCCTGGGTGCCCATGTTCGTCATGCAACGATCTCAACACCATTCTTCTGAACTGGGTGGGCAAGAAGAGTTGCCATAGATCATCACTTCGGTCTGAGGGCCCCCTTTGGTAGACCACCCCTTTCCTCAGTTCCATTCTATCACACTCCCTATGGGTAGCCTTGGCATCTGGGGGATCTTCCACCTCAAATAGATCGCTTCGCTCCTCCATAAGGGTTCTTCTTGTTAATTGTGGATCTCGATCCTGAGCCTACTGCATGCCTTTAGTGGTGAGCTGTGGTAGCTCCTCACGCTTCAGCTGACACACATTACAGTACAGTAGTATGATGGGATGCAGGCAGCATAGGCCACTCCTTTCCTTTCCTGACTTCTGGAACAATCTCTACCTCATCTGTCCCTCCTTTGTTCTCCGTTTCCAGCACCACAAAGGGCCCCGGCTGGTCCCAGTCCAATTTGACTCGGGCTTTCAAACAGGCGACTGGCGCACTCTCTTCAGGCACATTCTTCCAAACCTTCCCCACTTCCTCTTCTGGAGTCCTTAACTCTCTGACTACTCTTTGATAAACTTGGTGCAGTTTGGGTGGATGTTCTCTATGAGCACCCTGTTTCTTCTCGGCCAGTGGACTAAGGAGCCTGCTTACTAGGTTGGTATTATTTCCAATTAAAATTTAAATTAAAATTCTCCCTGAGGAAGTCACGAGGGGCTTGACGTAATGCTTGAGAGGAGCTGGGTGTCAGACTACTGAATCGCAATTGTAGACACAGATTTGTTTTAAAGGAGCTTTGACCTCAGACTTTATGTAAGTGAAATACTTTTAATAAATTGCTTAATTCTAAGTAATACAATATGAGAGGCTGTTCTGTGTTTATCTGAGCATTTGCACAATGGAGGAGAAATGAAGAGTGAGCATCTATAAGTCTGGGGAAGAAAAGATTGTCCACTTTCCCAAGAAGGAGAGACCATTTACCTCAAATATATTCCTTAAGGGAAAAGTGCATCTAGAACTAATAACATATGTTCTTGGGTCTAATTCCGGAGGTGAACACAGTATCATTCAGGTGATGGGAGTCACGTTTGTATGAAGTTGGCTAATGTAGATTCAATTAATCACATATGGGAAGAAGATGCATGTGCTGCACCAAGGAGGATTTGTTTGGACTTTCACAGATTGATTGAATTGAACTATTTGTTTTACTGTCACTTATTGATTATTATTATACAGAATTTATATAGCGCCAACAGTTTGCTCAGCGCTTTACAATATAAATATCACTATTTATTGTATTATATAACACTTTGGGTTGTACTTCCATATAATATTTTAGCACATGCGTTTTATATTACATGAATTTATTATGACTTAGTTTAGATGTGAAGGGAGCGCCGCATTTATCATTTTAATTTTTATTAAGTGTGGGTACGCACATTGATATGAGCTGCACCTGATCGCAAGTTTTTTCGCCCATTTTCTTGCATTTTTACACTTTAGATATATTGCGTAGCGCAGAAGCCACATTGCACTATACATTGGTCCCAGTTAGTATGGAACACTGCTTTATTCCCAAAGGCCTGGGACAGACTGTTGCCAGAGTATCAAAAGTCTCTGTTCTGCTAGTTAAGGTTGGGCTGAAAACCAGGCGGAAGAGTATGTAGCCATCATAAAGGCATTTCTGGGTTACGATTCCCCAACTTTCTAGCTCTTCTAGCTTCCGTTGGATTAAGTGCTTGTCATAGAAGTCCCTATATAGTAGGGTCACTTGAGCTCCAGTATCCAGCAAAACTTTGGTGTAAACTCCCTCAACTTGAATCGAGACCACTGGGGATGAGCCTACCAGCTCGTCAGGAAGTCTCTCGGGTTGAGGCTTTGTGCTTATGATCCAGGCTTTCCCAACTCAAGTTTCTCACTTCTTAGGAGCTTGCTTTCCCAGCTTTCTGGTGTGGTGTGTATCAATTCCCTGCGTTAGAGTCCCTGTCAGAGTTGGGAGATGAATTGGCTCTAAGAGACAACTAATAGCAGATGTCTGAGCAGTTTTAGTCACTAAGGTCTGTGATCCCTGAGAATTGGAGCTCAGAATATTCTTCGGGCCCTCAGCTGGCTCCTTCACTGATGCCCCCGGTAGTTTTCCACCATCTTCTGGAAGAATAATTTCTTTAATTCTTGTACAATTTCAGCCGTAAGGTCGGCTATTGAGTCTGTGGGCATTGGGCCCAAAATTTTCCTGGTTCTCAACAATGAAAACAACATCTGAGGTACCCAGGACTGGATTCCCCCTGGCTGGCTGCCATTGCCAACACCGTTTGTCCCATTTCTGACATGGCCTATCAGCATGAACTTCCATGACTTGACTTACTGTCTCATGAACCTCACAAAAGGACTGTTGAATCATGGCTTGGGCTTGAGCCAACTGGGACAGGGCCTGCATTATGCCATCCACTGAAGCTATGGCCTGCGTCTTGGGTACTCCCTCCATGGCCAGAATAGCTTGAGTGACACAAGTGGAAGCCCTGGGCTGGGCTCCATCCTGAACTTCTGCCTTCCTGGCCTTGGTGGTCCTCAACAGCTTTGAATATTTCACAGCGCCATAGGGGGAGCTGACCCTGAGCTTCTGTGCTATTGGATCAAGTGGTTTAGCCCCCTTCAGTACTTGGTTCCAGAGGGCCTTGCTAGCACTTTCAGCTTTCACTCCTCCCTCGACAACCACCTGGTGCAAAATCTTGTCCAGCCTTTGCACAGAGTCAGACATTTTCTCTCCTCTTGCTGATACGTGTGCTCAAATAAATAAGCCAATTCTGTACAGTCTCAAATCATCTAGATACTTCCCATAGAGCCTCAAGACACTCATGGGCAGTATAGCCTGGCTTATCCCATTTTAGATTTCGCAGGAATCTTTCGCAGGATGTCAGAGATAAGTGGGGGGGCTTATCGGAATCTGGAAGCCCATAAGCTCTCCACTACCCCCTGTCTGTTTCCAGCATCCACCACTTCGCACTCCTGTGTGGCCTGGAGGTCTTGATCAACTCAAGTGTTGAAGTTGTCTTTCCCCAGGGGAGTAGGGGCCCTACCAGCAAAGAATCTGTCTTCGGTAGTTATGGTTAGAGGTAGAGTTCCAGAGTCACCTGCTGGCAGAATGTCTAGCTGAACAGGGGGGCAAGGCCAGCAGTCAGCAACTCCTCCTTGTCTCTTCTCTAACTCTGCGGCCTGGTCCAGTACTCCAGCAGTCAGCACAGCTCTCTCCCCTCTCACTTCCCATTCAGTCTCCTGGGCTTCTGTATATAAATGCCTCTACCCAGACGCCAGCTCCAATGGGAAATGTAGTCCTTTGGTACACTGCTCCCCAGCAAGATCCTGAGGTTCAAGATCCATGGGGCTGTAGAGAGTGTGAGTGCTACTAAATTGCAGGACACTTTGTTACAGTAACGCTAAGATTAACACGTCAAAATTGAAACTTTCAATTATTTGTTGAATGAATAGCATAATTTGTTGCCCGATCAACATACATTATATGCCTTCAAACCATATGACCCTTCCGTGTAACATTTTTTCTTGTTGTGTTTAACCTAATTTATAATGTATATATGACTTATTGCTGATTCACACAGTGCGGATTGAAGCTTGGGTTTCACAGCTAATTGACACAGAAGCTGTTCACTGGTTCAGGTCAGGTTTACATCAGGTTCAGGACAGGGTCAGCTCAAGATTTTATCCTGTTCACACATATCAGGTTTAGAAACGGTTCCCATAGAAGTCAATAGCCTGTAATCTACACCTGAACAGGACCACACTGCTCAGAAATCATACATGACTCTTTTTTAAACCGCACTGAATCTGCACCAGCAGTGCATTGGACATACAGTTGCAAGAAAAAGTATGTGAACCCCATGGGATTACGTGAAGTTTTGCATGAATTGGGCATAAAATGTGCTCTGAACGTCATCTAAGTCACAACAATAGAAGAAACAGTCTGCTGAACATAATACTACACAAACATTAGATGTTGCCATGGTTTAATTGCACATAACATGTAAACATTCACAGTGCAGGGAGGAAAAAGTATGTGAGGCCCTAGCTTAATGACTTCTCCCAGAGCTAATTGGAGCCAGGAGTGAGCCAACCTTGACTCCAATCAGTGTGATGATATTGGATGTGTTGCTGACAGCTGTCCTGCCCTTAAAAAACACACACCTGTTTTAGGGTTTACTGGTTTCAAGAAGCACTGTCCGATGTGAACCATGCCTCGCAGCAAAGAGCTCTCAGAAGACCTACGATCAATAATTGTTGACATGCATGAAGCTGGAAAGGGTTACAAAAGTATCTCCAAAAGCCTTGATGTTCATGTGTCCATGGTAAGACAGACTGTCTACAAATGGAGAAAGTTTAGCACTGTTGCTACTCTCCCTAGGCGTGATCGTCCTGTAAAAATGACTGCAAGAGCACACAGCGCAGAATGCTGCATGAGGTAAAGAAGAATCCCAGAGTGTCAGCTAAAGACCTACAGAAATCTCTGGCACA